GTAGTAAACATCCTCCTATTTTACATTCCAAAATAGCTAGAAGAAAATAATTCTGATGTTTCTGGAATAAATTAAAGGTAAACGTTTGAGGTGATGGATATCCTAATCCCCTGGGTTTAATCTTTATACGAATATATCAAATTATCACATGTATCCTAAAACTATGTATATCCCTTATGCATAAATAAAAATAAATAAATAAAAATAATTTTTTAATGATGTGGGAGGCTAATATCAGTAGTAAGTCTTATAAAGAGGTTTCTAACAAGAGAACATTTACCTACACACTGTGCACACAAACAAATGCACATTTATTTTCAAACCACTCAGAAAATCTTATCAGTAAAAACCCCCTCTGTTCCTTAAAATAAGCTAGGTTAATTCAATGCTTTTATATGTGCTTTTGTTTGTTCCAGCATTAACAATTTTTAACTTCAGAACTAATGGACTTTCAGTTAAGAGATGGCTAAGTTCCATGTGAATTAAAAGCTAGCAGTGTTAAAACCATAAATGGTGATAGCCACTAAAAAAAATAAAGAAAAGAAAGCTTTCTGGTGACAACATTTAGTTTCTCAAACTGGATGCTTTGAAAATCAAAAGGAAGAAAGCAGAAAAGAACCTTTGCAATAATGGGTAATGATGAGAACTCAGTCTTTTTAAGAGTGGAGTCAATTATCCACTCCATACAAAGCGAGTATTCATTTTGTATCACATCATTGTTAATTTTGACTTGTAATATATATTACAATATACCTTTATCGTGGATGCATCCTTCAAAATTGTGTTGGTAAGGGTAAACTCATAAAAGATTTGGTGACTGCTAACATAAAAGCATTACTTACTATGGCTGTGATAGAATCTCTATTTGTCATCAAAAAAAAAAAAAATGTAATGAGACCAGCTGAGTGAAGTGTTTATACTGAAATAAAAATGTCCAGTAGGTTCAAGTGAGGCTCCAAAAGTTTGTTCCAGAAATAGTAACTAAATGGTTCAATTATATATAAAATGAGAAAACACTTAACAAAAGTACAGGAAAGATTTACAGCTGCTTTCAAGAATATGATTTTAGCCCTCAAATATGACTGTAGTCTCTCATAGGCAGTATGGTGAATTTGATGGATTTTACATAAATATACTAAATTTTGATCATTAACATTCCTCTATATCTACTGCAGGCTTCTGATTTTCTTGTTTTTGTTTTTCAGACATAGTCTCACTTTGTCACTCTCAGTAGAGTGCTGTGATGTCATAGCTCACAGCAACCTCAAACTCTTGGGCTCAAGTGATCCTCTTGCCTCAGCCTCCTGAGTAGCTGGGATGATAGGTGCCCACCACAATGCCCAGTTATTTTTTGAGATGGGGTCTCACTCTTGCTCAGGCTGGTCTCAAACCCATGAGCTCAGGGCAATCCACCTGCCTAGGCTGAATTTTTTTGTTTGTTTATTTTTGTTTAAATAATTTGTATAAGCCAAAATTATTTGTGCAGGTATTTGTGCTCATTATTAATTTCAATACATTTTCTTTCTGTGGTTGATTATAATTAATGTCTATGTGGCTTAACCAGACTCCCTATTTGGAAATTCACAGGCCAAGCAAAAAAAAAAAAAGTAACCTTAGTTTTCTAACATTAAATTGCTTAAAAATAATTAGTGACTCGTTTAAGAGAGAAGTACAAAGAAATCAATGTCAACTTTATAATACAATTGAAACTTCAACATAAAATACCAGAAAAAGTCAGAAAACACAGTTTGAGTTCTTGATTCTGTATCATTGCAGCATTGGGTATAAGAAATCTCTGTAAGTAGCTGGGGCAGTGGCTTCCACTTGTAATCCCAGCACTCTGGGATGCGGAGGCAGGAGGATCGCCTGAGCTAAGGAGTTTGAGACCAGCCCGATCAAGAGGGAGACCCCATCTCTAAAAATAGGCGAGTGTTGTGACAGGTCCCTGTAGTCTCAGCTACTTGGGAGGCTTAAGCCCAAGAGTGTGAGGTTTCTGTGAGCTATGACACCACGACACTGTACCCAGAGTGAAAAAGTAAGACTCTGTCTCAAAGCAAAAAAAAAGAAAAAGAAAGAAATCTCTGTAAGTAAAGTACCACGTATTGATTGATAATCTCACAATAAAAGTTTAGACGCATTTATACTATTGATAGCTTTAGAAAGAAGAGCTAGCTGAAGCTTGAATATTAAAGTAAATAACTGAAGAAAATGTTTTCGAAAAGAAAAAGCAAATTTTCAGAGGTTCTTTTTTCACTTTTTGAACCATTTATTTTCATCTTTTCGTCTCTTTTAAGACATCAATAAGCACTTGGTTTTTTTCATTTCTTTTTTTTTTTCCTTTTATCAAGTCATATACACCTAGATCATGAATACAGGTATGCCTTTGTGGGTTCAATGTGCTGATTTTCTGTACAAATTGGAATGCTTACAAGAGGTTTAGATCGTGAGGGATATCGCGAAATACTCAGACATACACATGCATATGTAGAACCTGAAAAGATGATAAAGTTCATTATATCATCGTGATTTTAATAGAGTTTGTTTTATCATTTATATATCTCTTATGTCTCTCCCTCTCTCCCCTTGTCCCGTTCTCACTGATGCCTTTGGAGTTATCACCCTTCATCATCTTTCCTTATATAATCTATCCCACAGGGCCCTCATTTACTCTTTACTTATTCTGAGTCATCCAAGGCTTCAACTCTGACATCTGTGGAAAAGAAACCAACCTACAGAGCTTGAGGTTTACAATCTCCTGAGCTCTAGGAAAGGGTTCAACCTTCCCTGGCTTTGCTAATGGCTATATAGATTATGCTCTGCCACAAGTGTCCAGCAGGGGGCAAAGTGGCAGGGGAGGTTCTGTGGGCAGAAATTGAAATTCAGTTTGGAGTTTGTGAATCTAGATATGCAAGAGAGGGTCATAACCACAGAGCACATTTTCTTATTTACATAAAAGCACCACACGCTGTGGTGGCTCTGAATCTCCACCTGGTTTTCTCTATGTCCCCTAATATTTTACATGGTACATTCATGTAACAAAACAAGTAGCCTCATTGAAAAGAACATAAAACTACTATGTCTTCTTTTCTGAAACAAACTCCAAAATATTCTTCTATGTGAAAAAGATTAAGTCGCATAGAATGATATACATTTTTTACAAATATAAAAATATACATTATTGTAGGAATTGAAAAAGGTTTTAGGTATAAATACTCAACAGTTGTTTCTGCTGTGTCCAGTATACTATATATTATATGCTACATATATGCACATATATATAGTATAATATATACTTTTCATTTTTCTTATAAAATAATATAGATATTTTAAAGTGAAATTTAATGTTCCATAGTGACATTAGTACTAGATAATCTCCTTAACTACTTAATAAGAATAATAGTTAATATTTACTGAGTGCCTTAAATCGCTAGACACTGTGCTAAATCTAAATATAGATTACTGAACAATAATACTGGAAATCAGGTACTGCAATTATTTTAGAGATGAAACCAGAAAGATCATTTCTCCTAATCTACCACTATTCTCTCTTACTTGAATATGTGGTTATCTTTCAATTTGTATTCACACTTTGCCCTCAGGAAAGTGTATTCACACTTTTGCCTTCAATTCATATGTAACAGTATCTACAAAGTTCCCCACATCCATTTGTTCTCATCTTTTTCCATATATGTTAAAGCTGCAGTAGTTCAGATTTTCATTAATTATCACCTGGAATATTACATTTGTATCTGTTCTGATCTCCTCCCCATTTCTGATATATAGTTTTGCAAATTAAACATGCTAGGCAAAGCCTTAATGATATTATTTTTATAATATATTATAATATATTCTGATCTAGATTATATACAATATGATATATACCATATTATCATGTTAATGACACTATGTAATACTTCCTATTAATGCATGTTAATAATATAATCATATATATTACATAGAGCTGTAACATACCATCCATCAGAAAACCCCAGTGGTCCTAACCTACAAATTCAACTGTAATTCCTACTCCCCTGTTGCCTTGACTGAGTCTATCTAAGGTATTGTTAAATTATAGCATGCATTGTTTTGTTTTGTTTTGTTTTTAAGCAGCTAAAGCTTTTCCTGATTCTAAATCCCACATATGACAAAGATTCTCCTGGAATGCCTCCACAACACCAACCCACCC